GGTGGAGAGAGAGATGGGGCAGTTAGTGAGAAAGCACCCCACTTCTTCCATAGGAGATAGTCATGTTGCAATACTTTCTACTTCTTTTGGGATTTTGGTCATGCGTGCACAGTATATCCAGCATGTTTCTTAGGCCTCGAGATCTAGAACTTGTACCATGCAGTGGGCCATGTGAGATCCAACCACCGTAGCTACCATACCACCAACTGGCCGACCTTCTTGTTTATACATGCTGTGGTGGTTGATATTGAGTGTCCAGGCTGGTATGAATCTTCATCTCTCCCATTAAAGCAGCTTGTGGGATAAGAGATGAAATTGTAGAGTGACCTTTCAGTGAAACAAGATGTACCACAAGATGGGCACAGGTCATATGAAAATATAGAAGATATATGCTCTAGGAACATTGAGAAAGGAAAGATTATTTAATGAAGGCATGATATAAATTTGTTTGCAGGCTTTCTTTTGTCAGGAGAAAAGTTCCCTGAATAAGTCAAAACATGCACACATTCTGACTTATCTGTGGTTACTATGAGATGCTAAATTAGTAGGATATCAACCTAAGATGATAAGCAGAGCCGAGTCAGAATAGTTTGAAGGACTCCAGATATGTGGCTCAGAGGCTAGGGAAGTGTTGGTCATCGTGAAAAAGCAAGATAAGAGCTTACTTATTATGATGTTCTCATGTAGGTGCCCTGGCCTGGCACTTAACTTTGTGTCAGTGTTTTAGAAGCAGCGTTTGCCTTTTACATATGTGATTTCCTTAGTGTAAAACAAAGCATGTCATCACATCCAAAAGAAAGAATGGCGTATTACTGCTATTCCCGTAACATGAATAATATCATGTGGTTGCAGTTTTACATCTGCTTTTTATTTTCATTTCATCTGAGCAAAAGAGAACTAATTGAAGCAATTTTTTTTAAGATCTGAGGTTTAACTGTGCATACCTTTCTGTATCCATCCCCTAACCTTCCAGCAAATAAGTTAGTTTTTTTCATGTTTTGTAAATCCCACTATGAAGTTGAGTGATGTTCCTTAATTTAGTTACCATACTTCTTATTTGTAGATGTATTCGATTCCAGCTTTCTCTAGAAATATCTAAGATATAGGAGTTATATAAGCATTTAGTTTCTTAAATCCTGGGCAACTGGATTCAATAATAAATTCTGTTCAGTTTGGCTCTTGTAAGGAAGTGTAATTTATTCATTTCCCATGCAATCAGTCTTACTAAAACTAGAATTCCAGTCCATGGTTAGATTTTTGTTGTTGTTGCTCTGCTTGGGGGAGGGTCTTTAGAAATGGCTCTCATTGAGAAGAGGCATTTCTTTGTTCTTAAACCAACTAATTTAATTGAATATAAAGGTTCTCCTTAATTTGATTTACTTCTTGTTCTTAGAATATTGATTCAGTTGTACACAATTTGGTAGGATCAACAAAAAGCTAACAAACAATTGATTAAGGAAAGTTGTGATTGTATTAATCTCTTTCCTTGCCAAGATCAGGATATTGCTGACAACAAGAATTACTTTTTTTTTTGGCCTCTTCCTGCCTCAGCATTAGCTAAAATTAAGGGATTGTAGACCATTCTTTGATACATAATTCTGAAAAATGTTTTCGTCGAGTTCAGGGATTTGCATAGTTCTAATAATCACCATGGAGTTCACATGATCCCAAATATACTTAATGTACTGGTTGAGACAGGAATCCAGGCATTTAAAAATGTATGCTGGTCACAGGCATAGAACTCTTACTAACCATTTGCTTATTTCTAAAAACTGTCGAAGTCTGCCATGGAGCACAGACCTCTGGGTTGAGGACTAAACAAGAAGTTACTTCAGAGGTCCTCCAATGCCAGCCTGTCCGACCTTTTTGGTTCAGTCTGGGAAATAGCTCTTGCTGCCTATGTTTTACAGATTACTTTGAAGTTTACATGTCTTCGATTTTCTGTGTTTTGCCTCCAATGTAGTCAAGGTTTCTTTCATTTCATGGCAATATTTCAACATGATAAAAACAATCTGCCGGAAAGATTTTTTTCCTACCTTTGTTACTGCCAAGCAAATGATTCATCTGATGACAGGAAAGAGCAGTAGCCTGTGGAAATGTATAGTATTAGCCTGAAAATGCAGAACAAGCTGGTTTTATTTAGGCAGGTTTATATTTTTCGAGCCCTTAATGAATACCTTCTTTGCGTATCAGATAACTAATGAAGCTGTAAGTAATTTCCTCTGTATTTGACTTTTGAAAATGAGTTTATTTAGCTTCAAAGGCCTCTGTTGGCTCAGTGAACACCATAGATATTTTTCTAAGGATAAACTCAGAATCCTTTGGCATTCAATTAGTCAAATCAACAAATGTCTATTTACCTTAGGGATAATTCCCTTCTTTTGACTCCCTTAGATATGCCATACACATTGGGGAGAGCATTTACTGAGTTCTCCAAAAAAATCCCTATAGGACTAAGAGATACAGAAGGGGTATGGTCATCAACCATTTCTACTGTAGGAAACCAAGATAGTTCCTTTGTTTTTATGAGAAAAGTCATATATTTTCATTTCTCTTCAATGAATTTGTGGAAATAGAATTTCTGGGTCATAGGATAGATAAATGTCTATTATTTTTTTTTTTTTGAGAGAGATTTTTTGCTATAGGGTGTATATGCTCACCAGAGAGACAGAGAGAGACAGAAAATGAGAACTCACCTCCCCCAGGGGGAATGGCCACGTTGTAATCCCTTCTCCTCCAGTCTCCTCTTGGGACTTTGGGCATGCATGCATGTGGGCCAGGTGTAGTTTTAAGCTGCTGTGCTTGGACCTCAAACCACAGTCAGCTATGTGGGAGTCCAGCAACGCAGCCAATACGCCATCTGCTGATCCCAAATGTTTAATTTTTAAAAGGAAACATAGGAGACCAGCAGATGGCATCATGGTTATGTTGCTGGACTCCCACATAGCTGACTGTGGTTTGAGGTCCAAGCACAGCAGCTTAAAACTACACCTGGCCCACATGCATGCATGCCCAAAGTCCCAAGAGGAGACTGGAGGAGAAGGGATTGTGGCATGGCCATCCCTCCAGGGGGATGATTTCTCACTTTCTGTCTCTCTGGCAGGTGCATATGGCCTATAGCAAAAATCTCTCCAAAAATAAAAAAAAATTATTGTCTAGTTTGCTACAGAGTATGTGCAGAGAGACAGACAGAGAGAGGGAGAAAGAGAGAGAGGGAAAGTGAGAAATCATCCCCCAGAAGCTGGGTACACTACAAAGCCTTCTCCTCCATTCTCCTCTTGGGATATTGGGCATAGATGTACATGTAAACAGCATGATTTTCAAGCTGGGTCTGGGACCTGAACCATAAAGTTGACCATATGGAATCTAGTCTCTTTGACCTCCACTGCACCTGCTGGCCCCATGTTAACTTTTTAAGAAACTTTGAGGTTTTCAAGAAGATGTTTTCTTTTAAATCTTGGAGTAGGCAAAGAGAAGACACAAAGAAAAAAAATAGTAATTTAGACTTAATAATATTTTAAAATTTTGTTTGTCCAAAGTCATCATTAAGAAAATAGACAAGTGGGAACCAGCAGTTAGCGTAATGACTATGTTGCTGGACTCCCACGTAGTCGACCGCGGTTCGTGTCCCGGACCCGGTGGCTTAAAACTCACGCCGGGCGCGTGTGCGTGCGTGCCCAAGATCCCAAGAGGAGAATGGAGGAGAAGGGATTGCGGCGTGACCATCCCCCCTGGGGGGTGATTTCTCGCTTTCTGTCTCTATGTCTCTCTCTGTCTGTCTGTCTGGCGAGCGCACGCGCCCCATAGCGAAAAACCCCCCCCAAAAAAAAAAAAAAAAAAAAAAAAAAAAAGCCACAGACTGAGATAAGAATATCTACAACACACAAATATGACAGAGAACTTGTTTTCAGATTATATAAGGAATTCCTGCAACTCAATAATAAAAATAATAAAATAGACAATAATAAGGTTTTCTTTTGGGGGGCGGAGGGAGAAGTTTTTGCTATAGGGCACATGCGCTTGCCAGAAAGACAGAGAGAGACAGACAGAAAGCGAGAAATCACCCCCAGGGGGGATGGCCACGCTGCAATCCCTTCTCCTCCATTCTCCTCTCGGGATCTTGGGCAAACACACACATGCACCTGGTGTGAGTTTTGGCTACCTGGTCTGGGACTTGAACTACAGTTGACTACATGGGAATTCAGCGACATTGCCATTATGCCAACTGCTGGTTCCAACAATAACAATTAAAAAGACAAATTCTAGAAAGACTTCAAGAGTTACTTCATAAAAGAAGATATATGAATGACAAGCACATGGAAAAGCACTCAGCATCTTTATTCACAAGAGATATGAAAATTAAAGCCACAATAAGATATCCCTGCACAGCCACTAGAATGGCTCAGATGAGAAAGTTTGTTAATAATAAATGTTGGAGAGGTGTAGAAAACGAAGGACTATCATACCTTGGAGATGTGCACATACAATGGTATGATGATTGTAGAATTTGAGTTTATTTCCCTACTTGTTTTATGTACAGTTAGACCTTTACCCCTTCAAATACAAAGACTTTTTTTTTTTTAATTTTTAGATTTTTTTGTCATAGGGTATGTGTGCTAGCTGGAGAGAGAGAGAGAAAGAGAGACAGAGAGGGAAGTGAGAAATCACCCCCTGGGGGTCAGCCATGTTGCAATTCCTACCCCTCCATTCTACTTTTGGGATTTTGGGCACACACATACGTGTACTTAGTGTCTTTTTCAGGCCATTGTTTTGGGACTCAAACTACCAAAGAGGCCATGTGAGATCCAGCACCTTAACCACCACACCACCTGTTGGCCCCCTCAAATACAAAGATATCCTAAAGTTACAATTTTTTTTTTTTTAAGGTAAGAAATAAACCGAGAAGTAAAGCTGACTTTGAAGGCTTAGTTACTTTTAAGTGGTGTGTGATAGTAGGACATTTCTAGTCTGTGAATTAATTTTTTTTTTTTCTAAATCAGGAACCTGACTTTGACATTGAAAGAAATATGGAGATAACTCCAGGAGAAAAAGTACTTCAGAACACCAAAGAGCAACGGGATCAGCAAAATCGACTGAAAGAAATAGATGAAAAACTGAGAAAAATGAAGGAAAATGTGGTAAGTCTTTTTTTAAAGTTTAATTATAGTAAGCGATTGTACTACAAAACGTTTCAGTTTCCTTTGATTGTTTTATGGCTGTTCATATGTGCTAAATCAAGTGTGCATTTGTCAGTAAGAATTTGAATAACAGCTAAAAATATGATCCATAGGACTGAAGTAGTAGTAGGTTGTCATTGTCAGGAAAGTCATGGCACATTTTTGCATAGGAAAACATGTCATGACTTTTCAGACGACCCAATAGTATGCTTAATTAATGTAATTTATATGACATAATAAGCCTATAAAATACTATATGAAGTCAGAATCATGATCCTGATTCTAATATTCTGTGTCTGACAATGACATAAGTATTATTTTATTATAGAAAAACTTGCTAGTTCTTCAAAAAAAAACCCACCCTTATAAATTGAATGTATACCTTAAATACTCTCACATTTGTTCATAAATAATAATACATTATTAATCATAAATTCATTTAATATATCATAAATCTTTCTTGCTCACCATTTAAAGACATATCATTACTGATGAGAGAAATCATTGTAAATCAACTAAATTGTGAGCTGATTGATATTCTGAACCTATTAGGAATGTTCTATAATATTATGATTTTCCAGCTACCCACAAGATTTGCCAGTTGGAAAAGCCAAGTGGCTTTTATGTAAAATTAAACATGACAGGGCTGAACTTATGATTCTACCTGTATCGTCTTCCAGGGCTCATCGTGCTATAATTTTCAGCAGTACACTTTCTGTCTCCTCCTGAATCCTGTCATCTTTAAGCCTCATTAGGTTTTAAAGCATGTATGGCTAATTTATTGCTAGGTCCTGGCATGATTTCCTATGACTCTCAAAATCTTTTCTTTGGGAACCAGCAGTTAGTGTAATGGCTATGTCGCTGGACTCCCATGTAGTCGACCGTGGTTCGCGTCCCGGACCCGGTGGCTTAAAACTCATGCCGGGCGCGTATGCGTGCGTGCCCAAGATCTCGAGAGGAGAATGGAGGAGAAGGGATTGTGGCGTGACCATCCCCCCTGGGGGATTATTTCTCGCTTTCTGTCTCTATGTCTCTGTCTGGCAAGCGCACGCGCCCTGTAGTGAAAACCTCTCAAAAAAAAAAAAATCTTTTCTTTGTCTCTCATTTTGTCATCCTTTTCTCAGCATTGTCACCACATGCCTCGTGGTCTTACTAGCTGGTCTTTGTGGAATTTCTCGCTTCCTTTCTTTCTTGCCTTCTCTTTTCTTGTTTCACATTATATGCTGCTCCATGGAGGCGAGCCTAGGTAAGTGATTTTGATTAAGGTATGATTCCTCAGTGTCCCCATCAGTGTACAGGATCCTGACAGAGTCTTCATGCCTTGTGACCCTGTGCAGTTGGGTCATTCCTACTGCTTGGTGACCATGGACAGCAGCACGGACCCAGAGCCTGACATAGATCGAAGGCCACCTAAGGGGAGTCAGGCAACCATCTAAGGGAGTAAATGCATTGTGCTTGTCTTTATAGCTCATTTTTGTTTGCTTTTCATGGGAAATTTCATGGGAATTGTATTTCAGGGAGAAAGCTTTTTTTATTTTCTGAGGGAATTTTTTTTCTCTTTGTTGATTTGGTGAAGAAGCAGAAAGGGCTCTTGGCTAGTAGTTGTGGTGGTGATTGGACGTTGCAGACTCAATGTAATAAATAAAATGTTTGTGGTTTGACTTGTTTTGAAAACTGATGGCATTTGCTCTCGCTCTGCATATGCCAATCCAAGGCAGACAAAGAATGTCATTTTGCATAATTCATTCTCCTGATTTCTGACTGCTATAGTCCGGATGTTTACGTCTCCTTAAAATTCATGTTGAAATCCTAACCCCAAAGTGATGGCATTAGGAGGGTAGGGTTTTTTGGGATATGATCAGTTCATGAGGGTGACACTCTCAAAAATGGAATCAGTGCCTTTATAAAATGGGCCTGAGGGCCTTTTACCACGTGAGGACACAGTGAGCAGGTACCGCCTACGAACGAGGAAAGGACCCTCACTACACAGTGTATCTGCCAGTTCCCTGATCTTGGACTTCCCAACTACCAGGATTGTGAGAAGTAACATCCTGTTGTTTATAAGCCACCCAGTCCACAGAATTTGTTATAGCAGCCCAGATCTACCATTGCTTAATTTTTGGCTCGAAACTTGGGTCTTTTAAGACATCTTATGTATCATCCCAGTGCCATATGAGGTATTGCTACACTTAAAGGGATATAACATATATCAGTAATTGGTTGTTATTTAAGTGGAACAGAATAATATATGAGTGAAGAAGAACAATTATTGACTAGTCACTGTGGGTCAGCACTGTTTCAAGTACTTCATAAAATACCAAGTTATCTAATCTTCTTAATCACTTGGTGAAGGAGATGCTATTATCGTCATTTTGTAGATGAAGAAATGGGAGCAAAGAGAGATTGAATAACTTTCTTAAGGTTACAAAGCTAGTAAGAAGGAGATTGGATTTAAATGATGAGTTTTTTACAATGATGCTATGTTGATATTTATTTTCTTTTGTGAATATTGAGTAATGCTTTCGTTAGTTAAAAGGTGATATATTCGTTATAACTAGTAATATTAGTAAGATGTTTTGATTCTCCCATATAAATTTTAATTTTATAGTTTTATGTTTTATACTCACTTTCTGAGGCTATCTAAACAATAAAGACATATGAATAATGATCTGTATATATTTTTTTTAATTGCTTAGTGTTTCATAATAACCTGCAGATCCATATTGCATACCAGGTGACCATTTGATGGCAGATATTTTGTTTCAAACTCTATACAACTTCTTGTACCTACTGTGTCTGTTTCAAACTCTATACAACTTCTTGTACCTCGTTACAGCTGGGTACTTTCTGGATATGGAGTCATGAGTCCTTGCTTCGGTTTTATTGATAGCCTTCTCTGTGGCCTTAAATGAACCCCTTAGTCTCTTCATGACTTGATTTCATTGCTTTAATAATTTATTTTTTTGGAGAGGTTTTTGCTATAGGGCACGTGCGCTCTCTAGAAAGAGACCTATACACACACCTATATATACACATGCAGTATTTAGAACAGAGCATGAAACATTTTGAGTGCTATGTAAATAATTATTTCTGTTTTTCTTATTGTTATTATTAACGTTATTAATAAGGCATTTACATAAGCTTGTGTCTAGGGTAAGGTGGGGGAAGATATAGCACAGATGGTGAAATTGAAGATGAAGGAGTAAGTTTTGGAGAGGAATCAAGATGTCCTCTTCCTGACTCAGGATGAAAAATGGGAAAGGTGGGCCAAGAAAGACAGGTTTAGAGAAGAAAAGGTATTGGAGATCATACTTGAGTATTCTCTACTTACTCTATACATTGAGATCCTATTCTGTGCGCAGAGTGAGAGGTAGAATGGGGATTGAGGGACCAGGAGGTAATGTAGCAGTTAAGGTGCTGGACTCCCACATAGTTGACCATAGTTCAAGTCCCAGACCTGGCGGCTTGAAACCCATGTCAGGCATGTGTATGTTTGTGCCCAAGGTCCTGAGAAGAGAATGAAGGAGAAGGGATTGTGGCATGGCCGTCCCTCTGGGGAGTAATTTCTCACTTTCTCTGTCTCTCCAGTGAGCACATGTGCCCTATAGCAAAAATCTAAAACAAACAAACAAAAAGTGGGTATTGAACAAGGGCAGGAAAGGACTGGAATAGAGTCCATGAATGAGAACAAAGCAGTAGTGAACAATGAAAACAGCCCAGGGGACCAGCAGTAAGCATAATGGCTATGTCGCTGGACTCCCATGTAGTCAACTGCGGTTCGAGTCCCAGACTCAGTGTCTTAAACTCACACTGGGCGCGTGTGCATGCGTGCCCAAGATCCCAAGAGAAGAATGGAGGAGAAGGGATTGTGGTGTGGCCATCACCCCTGGGGGGGGGGGTGTGATTTCCTCGAGTTCTGTCTCTCTGTCTCTCTCTGTCTTTCTGGCAAGTGCATATGCCCTATAGGAAAAGCCTCTCAAAAACAAACAAATAAAACAAAACAAAACAAAACAACACAACAACAACAAAAAAACCCAAGCTGTGACATTGAGTCTGTCAGCAAGGCTTAGAGGTTACTCTGGAAACCCTCAGCAGTTCACCAAAAATGGAGATAATGGGTGGTGAGTTGAGGTAGGGGAGAAGAGAAGTTGGGTGACTGCAATGGAGCAAGGGAACTGGTGCTCCTATGAGACGGTGCTAAAAGAGAAAAAGGTACCAATGTAATGTGTGTCCCCCACATAGCAGCTGGAATTCCTTTGCCCCCTTAGACTCAGTTTCATAACTTATTGTACGTAAATAGAATAGAATACATATGGCTATCAGAAGAATAAGGGGTCTATGTATCTTGAAAGGATTTCTGTAATATAGTATTAAGGAAAAGAGCCTGTTGCAGGAGACAATGATTAATGTGATTCTATTTTTATTTTTAAAAAATGATAGGAAAATTCTGGACCAATATATACCAAATGAAGATTAAATTAGAGTTTATATACAGTATTGGGATTACTGATTACTTTTAGTGGGGATAGGAATGGGTTGGCAGATGAAGAAAGGAAATTTACTTTTTTTTAAAAAAAGAATTATTTTATTTAGCTTTATTTATTTACTTATTTATCTATTTTTAATTTGACCAGGGAAGGACAGAGTGTGTGTGTGTGTTGGGGGGGGGAGTGAGAAATCAAGCCTCCAGGTTGAGGACTTGAACTGCTGTTGGCCATGTGGGAGTCTGGCATCTTGAACCACCACGCCACCTGCTGGCCCAGGAAATTCACTTTCTATAGCATATACTATTTCAAGGGAAATGTGTGTTGGAATTACAGATGCTTTTTATGTTATTTTCATGCACTTCTCTATATTCTAGACTTTTTTGTAATACACATGTATTGTAGTTGTGAACAGAAAAAAAAATTTAAAAGTATAGAGCATTGATACATACAAAAGATGACTACTTTTCTGTCTCTTAATAGGTGGTCTTTTTTATGAAAACATTTTAAAATAATTATTTAGATTTATTTATTATTATTTTTAAAATTTGACCAGAAAGAGACAGAGACTGAGAGACAGGGAAAGTGAGAAAGCAAGCTGCCACAGCTGGAACTTGAACTGTGGTTGGCATGTGGGAGTCCAGACTCTTAGCCACTACACCACCTGCCGGCCTCATGAGTGGTCTTTACACATTTAGAAAAACAGAGTGAGCCAACACAGGAATAATGTTCAGCTTTACCAGCAATTAAAATTCATGTTCAAACAACCTCTATGTACTATATACATCTGTCAGACTAGCAACAATGATGACAAATGTGATAAATTATGTGGGAGTGGTATGGAGCTAGGGATAGCAATACTTAACATTATTAATTGCTTTTAAACTTTGTATTCACCACCCCCACCCCTGGAATGCAATAGGTCAATAAATATAAAAACAGATATGACATGGCTCATATTTTCCCACCTTTATAATCCTACTTTTAGGAATATTTCCCAGAAAACTATACTCAAGGAAAGCCAAACCAAATAGTAAATCACTTAGGTGCTCTCAAATAAGGAGATGCCAAAACAGCTTATACAACGTTAGCCTGTTTTAATACCATGGTAGGATGATGGAAATGACAAGTACAGGGACTTTATCAACAGGACTTCTCATTGGAAATGCATGGCATATAAAATAAAAATTAAAGGTAGATTTTTATAGACTTTAATTATACATATTAATATGTTTGTATATATTATTGCCAACAACAATCTAGGACAATAAAATATGCTAATAGCCTAGCTTTATTAGGTTATTTTCTACTTTCAATTAAATTACCTTTATTCCTAAAGAAAAATTTTCTACTTTCAATTAAATTACCTTTATTCCTAAAGAAAAAAGAACCATAACTGATGAAATTTTATTACTTCATTGTTTTATTTAGTCATTTTAGCCCATTAATTAATGATAGATCTTTTGAGTAATTTAAATAGTGACAGTAATTCATGTTTTGTCTAATTGTTCTGAAATATTGAGTATTACCATTTAATAATAAGAATTTTTTTTTCAATGACCATCTTTAACTAGTAGGGTTAGACAAGTGTATTTAATGAAGTTGCATAATTCTGCCTTTCAGAAATGGAAAGAATTCAATTTTAGTTTTTGTATTTTCAAAGAAAGAATCATCAATTTAATTTCTTTTCACTGATTCTCTTAATGATAAAATATTCTGAAAGGTGTTTTGTTAGTATTGTTAAAAAAAGCTTTTCATAGTTCCAATCATTTCAAATACATTGACTACAGATTTTAGGTCTTTATTGTGTTTCCTTTTTATTCTCAGTTTGAACTTCATTCACTTTTTCATCATTTGAATTCTCCACTATTTTTTTCCACATTCTTTCCCTTTTCAGTTTCCTAGAAACCACTGAGCCTGGCCTTGTTTGGTGAACTGCATTGTCATTATTG